TTTTTTTTTTTTTCCTTCCCCTCCCATGCTCTTCTGTTAAGTTTCTCAGGATCCACATAAGAGTGAAAACATACGGTATCTTTCTCTGTATGACTTATCTAATTGAAATGTCGAACCATAAAACGAATTCATAGAGTGAAATATATTTTGAGCTTGCACACGCACTAAAACATAGATAATTAAAAGCATTTGCATGAACAGAGGCATGCACACTTGTGTGTGTTTACCTAGCTTCTGTACAACTCCTATGAAACCAGTGATTTTCTCTCTGATACAACTCTTCTTCAAAAGTAGTCCTGATTTATTAGACCAAATCATTAAGCATTTAATATTATATAGTGGTCTACCAAAGATGAAATCATTAGAAAACAGAATTAAAGATTTTTAGACGTATCAAAATCCTTTCCAGTCTTTCATAGTAATGGAAAAACTGGCAATAAATTTCATGATAATGTTAATAGAATGGGGATTTCTGAGTTTCTGGGTCTTTGAAAAGCAAAAACATAACTCCAAAATAAATAAAACAAAACAAAACAAAATTAGTATTTGTTGAAGTTTTGTGAAACTCCCTACACAATCCTAATGTCAACTGTGAGTATTATAAATATGTAGGAGTGTTAGTATTTTACTCATAATGTAATGTTATTAGTGACCTACTTTTACCTTATTGAAGTATAGTTGACACGTAATGTTACATTAGTTTCAGGTGAACAACATAGTGATTGGACAACTCCATACATTGTACTATGCTCACATGTATAGCTATCATCTATCAACGGCCATCATACAATGCTATTACATCATTGACTATATTCCCTGTGCTGTACCTTTTGTTCCTGTGGCTTACTTAATCCTTAACTGGTCTATATCTCCCACCCCGCTTTACCTATTTTGCCTAGCCCCACAACCCTCGTCCTCTGGCAATCATCAATTTGTTCTCTGTATTTATGGATCTGTTTCTGCTTTTTGTTTATTTGAGTTTTGTTTGTTTTTTTTGGGGGGTGGGTTGTTTAGATTCCACATATAAATGAAATCATACAGCATTTGTCTTTCTCTGTCTGACCTATTTCATTTAGCATAATATCTTCTAAGTCCATCCATGCCATTGCAAATGGTAAGATCACTTTCTTTATGGCTGAGTAATATTTAATGAGCTGCTTTTAGAACTCAGTATAAATCTTGTGTTCCGTAAAATGCTGAAATACAAGGTTTCTATATTAAAGCACAAAAGATCACAATTGGAACTGGAATTTTCCAAAAAAAATGCCATGAGATTATTTTCATGAAGTCTAATTCTTGAGTTCAAAAAGGTGAAGAATGTGTTTCTTCTGCAAGCTCCCTAGGAACTACAATTCGGGTGCTGCATGGAAAAATATTAGAATCTACTCTACAATATCTGAAAGGGTATGTTCCAGGTCACGAAAATCTCAAGAAGCATCAGTGTTTACTCAGGTGTTCTACCCTTATGCATACAGGCTTGCTTTGCTACTGGAATTCTAAGAACTTGGTTATTGGAATGTTTTAACTTTTTGAATTTCACATTATAGTTTCCAAAAAATGTAGTAAATTTTCCAATGTCTCATTTGAGAATAAAAATCATTGTAACCTTGTTATAAACTTGAATATTATATATCCTAAATTTATTTTACAATTAATTTAATAACTCATAAAAAATAAAATACATATTTGCCATACAATATATAGCAAAAATAATAAAACACACTGAGGCTTATAGAAAAGTTATAGGCTAGGCAAATAATCCACCAACAATCTCCCACATACACATTACCAATCACTAACCTAGCTCTCCTTAAGTGCATTTTATATTATCCAGTTTAAAACTTTTGAGGGAGAGGGAAAAAAAATACTCCCTTATGTTCGTCTATATAAAAGAAGCAGAAAGAATGACCAAATATGCTGTTTAATTCATTCTTAAATATCACAAGTCTAAACGTGCCTCTCTGCCCTTAAAGTTTGCATTTCCACTATGGATGAAGAGCAATTCTCTGCAAACAACCCAAATCTTATAGGGTGCATTTCAGATCAGATTCATAGAAACGCACAGTGTTTATTATTGAGTGATAAGTGACCTTTACATTCTAAAATATTGTTTACAATTTAAAATAAAATTTTATTATATTGAAAATGAATAACTTCAGCTGGACTGAAATTTATTTTAAAGCTCCTGGACTTAGCAGCTTCAGAGATTTGAACACAAAGATTTAAAATAAATATTAAAAAAAAATGAGTAGATTTCCTTCATACCAAGGAAGAGTATTATACTGCAATAACATAAAGGCTTACATAATTGCTTTCTCTGTACTAATTACAGATTTTTTAAAAAATTTGCTTTGTTTCATAATTTTGGGTTAAAAATGTATTGCTTATTTGGGGGAAGGTAATAGTGTATATTTCAAAAGATAAAAAGAGGCATATAAATGTAAGTGTCTCCCACCTCCCTCACACCCAGTTTTTAGGTTTCCTCTCCAGCAGTAACTATAGTTTCCAATTTCTTGTGTATCCATTGAGAGACATTTTATGCAAATATAAGAAGTATTAAAAAGATTTAAAGTGGAAATTCTGTCACACCAAGGAAAGGAAATATATTTTAATAGCATATATATTTCCATAATTACTTTTTCTCTTATAAACATGGGTTTTAAATGTTTTCTTTATTTGAAATGTACTGCATGATATATTTTTTAATCTTAGTTTTTTTAGATATTATTGGAGCTATAAAGATATTTATTGTAACAAATAAATATATTCTAAGATATTTCACTGAGTTTTATATTTTCTCCTCTTTGTGACTCTCCGTTATTTTATTAAGTAGTTACAGCTCAGAATTGTTTACGTGAAGGCACGATACTAACTTTAACTGTACATGACTATTTTTTGATGTATATCAGGACATTGATTCACCATTGGTTGATTCTCAGAATCATGGTAAGTTGTTATATACTCCATTTGTAGAAAAGAGTTAATTTAATACATACTGTACCTATATAATAATCCTTTTTCCTATTAAACATTCAGAGAACTCGGATTTGGAGAAGGGGCTCAGAATGAAAATCAATTGTCCTTTTGTTTCAAAATCATTGAAAATCACTGTTAATTGGATTCTATTGCACAAAATGTGAACAATTCTGTCACTTAAAATCGAGGAATTAAACATACTATCTATAGAATTTTCAAAGGTAATGTACAACATTACCTGTTTAATATTTTTTTGTCTCTTTAAGCATACAAACAAATAAAACCTGAAGTTTTCACCCAAACACCAATCTCTCCCAAATACTAAAAAATACTATTTCATGTTTTTGCTAATACAGAAATGATTTCATTAATATTAAATATTTGAGGGCTTTTGCACAAATATTCTAAAAAAAACATAAATTGCTTTTTTCTTTTTAATGTTTGTTTTTGAGAGAGAGAGAGAGACAGAGAGAGAGGGGTGGAGCACACAAGTTGGGGAAAGGCAGAGAGAGAGAGAGACAGAGACACGGAATCCGAAGCAGGCTCCAGGCTCTGAGCTGTTGGCACAGAGTCCGACGCGGGGCTCGAACTCACAAACCGTGAGATCATGACCTGAGCCGAAGTCGGACGTGTCACCAACTGAGCCCCCCAGGTGCCCTGGTACTCCTTTTTTTTTTTTTTTTTTTTTTTAAGTAAGTTCTACACCCAGCGTGGGGCTTGAATTCATGACCCTGAGATCAAGAGTCGCATGCTCTAATGACTGAGCCCCCCAGGCGCCCCTTGTGTAGGGACATTCTTAACAACATGCTCTGGCCTGTCATTGTGTTGAGGACAGAAGATTGGGGAAATACGTGAATGACGCTGTAGACGTTCAGAAGCCAAGCCTCTGGAGAGGTGGGATGATTGGTGAGTTGTGACAACTTGGTCCTGAAGATCACAGCAGTGCTTAGAAGGGTCCACTTCTGGTGCCTCTGGGGAGGCTTTGGATATTACGTAATGTCCTGGGGAATAGAGAGCTGGCCCTAATTGTCCCCTACATCAGTGGCTCCAGGAGGCTGGCTGAGGACCAGAGCCTGTCGGTGACGGAGATCTCACCCGTCTGAGCAAAAGGGAAAAAGGAGACAGTGAAATGGAAGGGCGGCGAATGGAAGGGCCCGTGAAGCATTTTGAGTCCGATGGCTTTTCCTTTGCCACGAGCCTGAGTTAATGCAGTCGCTTTTGGAAAAGACTATGTCAAAATTCTTTCAAAGGTGAATCCAGGCAAAGGGGCATTTCTGAGGAGCTGGGACCTGTCTTTTTATAATCTTATTAATAAGTCCACCTTCAGTTAAGCACTTGAGTTAAAGGGCGCCTGGGTGGCTCAGTCGGTTGAGCGTCCGACGCCGGCTCAGGTCATGATCTCGCGGTTCGTGGGTTCAAGCCCCGCGTCGGGCTCTGTGCTGACCGCTCAGGGCCTGGAGCCTGCTTCGGATTCCGTGTCTCCCCCTCTCTCTGTCCCTCCCATGCTCATGCTCTGTCTCTCTCTGTCTCTCAATAATAAATAAACGATAAAAAAAATAAAAAAAAAAAAACAACATAAATTGCTTTTAAAGTAAAATTTAAATTATTGCAACTCTAGCTTTGTTTCTGATATTAGCACTGATATTCACATATTGTATTCAGATATAAATTAGTTTAGATGATTATTTCATTTTCATTCAGAAATCATTGCCTCCATTTTTAAATTTTTTTTTCAACGTTTATTTATTTTTGGGACAGAGAGAGACAGAGCATGAACGGGGGAAGGGCAGAGAGAGAGGGAGACACAGAATCGGAAGCAGGCTCCAGGCTCTGAGCCATCAGCCCAGAGCCTGACGCGGGGCTCGAACTTACGGACCGCGAGATCGTGACCTGGCTGAAGTTGGACGCTTAACCGACTGAGCCACCCAGGCGCCCCTCATTGCCTCCATTTTGAAAGTAGGGTAGATCTATAGAGCTCTCTGTCTAAGCCTGTGAAGAAGTTTTATTTGCTTTGTTTCAGTTTAGAAAGTTTGGAAACAATTGTCCTAAGAGGTAGAATTTTTTCTTCTCTATAAGGTTTCATCTAATACTAGATCCTCTTACTATTTCAGGAAGAAATAAACCATCTGTGATAGAAATGTAGGCTGCTAGTCAAGAAGTTAAATAAATGGGTGAAAATGGAGGATAGATCCATAAATAGAGGCATATAAAAATATTGATATATAAATACAAAGGCTAAGTACAGGTAGCTATCCATATCTAAACCTACATCTATCAGTCTACCTACCTACGCACCTGCTTATCTATCATCTATCACTTATCTACCTGGAGCAACCTCAAGTGCAAAAATTTCAGGTGGACAGAATTAGGTTGTTTATACTCCATTGGACATTATCATCATATTCTTGTTCATTGTTTTTCTAAAGTTTTCTCTTTAATCTCTTCCTCCACTTGTATTCTTCTTCCTGAGGTTGAAAAACTCTCATAAATTGATTGAATTCATGTTTCAGTGATATATGTGCTTACATAAGTATATGTTACTATTTGGAGGTTATTTATATAAATTTTGATGGTTTCTGTCATTTCTGGTTCAATATTTTTTAGGCTATCTTCCAAAATATAGTATGTTATTTCTTCAGAATTACTAAAAACAATAATTGGATTTAGATAACATGTTTTACTTTTATATTACACTCCTGCTGGAAAACTAAGATATGTTCAATATGTTACTCTTGTAAGCAATGTGCGGCCAAAACTTTTTATGCTGTGTGATACATTCATTGGGCTACCTGTACTGAGTCTCAGATGACACCAAAAGTTACCATGCATATAGAAAGCCCACTTCAAGAAAAATATTTCTGGGGCGCCTGGGTGGCGCAGTCGGTTGAGCGTCCGACTTCAGCCAGGTCACGATCTCGCGGTCCGTGAGTTCGAGCCCCGCGTCGGGCTCTGGGCTGATGGCTCGGAGCCTGGAGCCTGTTTCCGATTCTGTGTCTCCCTCTCTCTCTGCCCCTCCCCCGTTCATGCTCTGTCTCTCTCTGTCCCAAAAATAAATAAACGTTGAAAAAAGAAAAATATTTCTTCCTGTTTTTGCTTTAGAAGAAGCATACGAAGCTTAGTCAGTAATTGTCAGGATTTAAAACCCAGAATTACCCTCAACCAATGGAAGACTGAACATGTGGCCTGATCCTAGCCAGTAAAAGACAACTTTGCTGTATGGTCTCCGTGTTTCCTCAGTTGGGTACCAATGAAAATCACCTCTACTCATGCACAGAAGTTACTAGCTCGATAAAACACACTTCACTGCTTTTTCTTCCTTCCCTTTCAAACTGTCCCCACTCACTTTCTCCAGGTTCCTTGGATCACTTTCCAAGTGAATCAGCTTCACTCAAGTCCTTGCTACAGGCTTTGAAAGAAATCAAATGAAGACACATGCTATGACAGACATTCCTACATATGATTTCTTGTAAATTTATGCCAGATTGAGGGTAGTAGAGTATGAACATAGTGAATAGAAATATTGGATCATTGTGCCCGATTATTTATTCCTCTGTGCTATCAGTTCATTTACTCATGTCCATAGTCGTGCAACCTTGTATTGCCTTCCCGTATAATAGAATATATTATTTTATGTCATTGATGTTAGAATTGGTCATATAACTAGCAAGCCTAATGGAATTTTAATGGCCAAGAGGAAATCAGCAGCTTAAATGTGCTTACATGATTTTTCTTGATCTCTTGTGCTCCTAAGATACACTCAAAGAACAGCATGCCTCAAAAAGCATCTGTTCGTTCAGTCTGAGCCCCAGAATGATAACATGTGGAGTTGGCATGACCCTGACTAGAAGTCAGAAATTAGTCGGGCCCAACCAAATCCAGCCTAGATCAATCAAACTGCAGCAAAGCTACAGATATATGCAGAAAAAATATAAGTATTCCATGTGTCTGTGAGATTTCGGAGGTTAATTTTTACCCAGTAAACACTCAATATCATAATTACTTTCATTAATAATATTGTTTTTCTGCAAAATAGCTGCCTAATTATACCACAACAACTGATATTCAATACTGTAATATTTGCCAACTTGTTAGGTGGTATCTTATTAAGGCTTTAATTTAGTATTACTCTGCCTACTGGTGAGGTCATCTTTCCATTTTTTTAACTACATGAGTTTCTATTTATAAAAAAATTATAATTTTTTTGCAATTTTAATTTGGTCTCCTTTGAAGGAATTCCTTTAAATTCTATATAACTTTTTGTGCTATTGTTGTTTTTCAATATTGCAATGAATTGCCTATCCCAAAGTATTCCCTTTTTATTAATTTTATCAACATATTTCACTGAGAAATTATTTTGGTTATATATATATATATATATATATATATATATATATATATACAAATTTTGGGGTTTGAGAATCTTGTGTCAGAATCTTTCTTGACCTTGTGATCAAACTATTTTTTATATTGATGTTATTGTTTTACTTTCATAGTCAAAGCAGTATGAGTCTGTTTCATGTGGCTGGAGAGAAACTGTTAATTTTACCTTTCTTCATTTCTTTTCCATTAATATGTAGTATCATAGACATACAAATACCAAGATTCTGAAATGCACTGATTTTTTTTCTGAACTTTTTATTATTTCTCAGTAGAAATAGTCCTGCGTCAATGCTGCACAGTTTCATTGCTACAGCTTTTGTAGTGTTTCTCTAATACCTGGTGGGTCAGGCTTCCCTTTACTGTTTCTGGCCCATGATAGATCTTTTGCAAAGTACTTTCAGAAGTTCATGGATTTTTTTTGTTGTTGCGTATTAATTTTAGAATAAGTTTTCAGCATCTTTTTAAAATTCTGCTTATTTATCGACTGTAATTGCATTGAGTTGTACAGTAATCTGGGGGAAATATGCATGTCTCCAATATTAGTCCCCATTCCAATATAATACCGTGTTCAGTGTATTTAGATTTTCTAAAATAATTCTTATGTAGATTTTTCTAAGTTTTTACTTAAATTCCAGTTAGTTAACATACAGTGTAATATTTTCAGGTGTGCAATATAGTGATTCAACACTTCCATACATTACCCAGTGCTCATCACAAACACACTCCTTAATCCCCATCACCTATTTAACCCGTTCTTCCACCCACCTCCCCTCTGTTAACCATCAGTTTGTTTCCTATAGTTAAGAGTCTGTTTCTTGGTTTGTGGCTCTTTTTTTTCCCCTTTGCTCTCTCTCTTTTTCCCCCCTTTTTCCCCCTTTTCTCATTCCACATAGGAATGAGATCGTATGGTATCTGTCTTTCTCTAACTAATTTATTTTCCTTAGCATCATAATCTCTAGCTCCATCCATGTCATTTTTATTCATGAGTAATATTCCATCTCTTCATCTATTCATCAGTTGATGAATCTTTTTCTTTAGTCATTCATCAGTTGATGGACATTTGGGCTCTTTCCATAATTTGGTTATTATAGATAATGCTGCTATGAATATCAGGGTGTGTTTGTACCTTTGAATTAGCATTTTTGCATTCTTTGGGTAAATACCTGGTAGTGCAATTGCTGTATCATAGGGTAGTTCTCTTTTAAACTTTTGAGTAACCTCCATGCTGTTTACCACAATGACTGTATCAGTTTGCATTCCAACCAACAGTGCAACAGGGTTACCCTTTCCCCACATCCTTGCCAACACCTGTTATTTCTTGAGTTGTTGATTTTAGCCATTCTTACATGAGTGAGGTGGTGTCTCAGTGTACTTTAGATTTTGCATTTCCCTGATGATGTGATAATCAGCATCTTTTCACGTGTCTGTTAGCCATCTGTATGTCTTTGCAGAAATGTCTACTCATGTCTTCTGCCCATTTTTTAATTGATTATTCATTTTTTGGGTGTTGAGTTTTACAAGTTCTTTACATATTTTGGATGCTAACCCTTTATGTGATCTGTCATTTGCAAATATCTTCTCCCATTCCATCAGTTGCCTTTTAGTTTTATTGATTGTTTCCTTCACTGCGCAGAAGCTTTTTATCTTGATGAGGTCCCAGTAGTTCATTTTTGCTTTTACCTTGCCTCAGGAGACATAGCTAAAAAGAAGTTGCTACAGTCTATGTCAAAGACGTTACTGCCTGTATTCTCTTCTGGGATTTTTATGGTTTCAGATCTCATCTTTAGGTCTTTCATCCATTTTGAATTTATTTTTGTGTGTGGTGAAAGAAAGTGGTCCGGTTTCATTATTTGGAATGTTGTTGTCCTGTTTCTCAGTACCATTTGGTGAAGAGACTGTCTTTTTCCCATTGGATATTCTATCCTCCTTTGTGGAAGATTAATTGGCCACATAATTATGGCCAATAATTATGAATTTGTTTTTCTTTTGCAAGATTGCTTAGGCTATTCAGGGTCTTTTGTGGTTCTTACGAAGTGTTTAAATGCCAACAAGTCCGCATCGACTCCATATTCTACTCGTAGAGCCTTTATACGTGCTGTTCTAGAAAGACCCCTCATCATACTTTTCCCAGCTAATTTCTACTCTTCATAACCCTCTCATTTTAAGCTCCTCAGAGATATCTTGTCTTTAAAAATAACTACATAAAATATCCCTATTAATATTCAATAGGTAACTATACACAGGTACTGCTAACACACCACTGTATATACCTCAAAGGTCATCCTTCTTGACAAAGTAGTGTAGAAATAGTGCAAAATACATTTATGTAATCTGACTGTGTACCCCAAATTCTCTCAAAAAAGAAATAAAAAAGGTAGATATTCA